GTTTTGGCGGGGGCGGGGGACAGGTAGCGCCGCGGTAGGGGTCCGGGGGTGAAATGGCTACCCCAGCTTGGGCCACGGGGCTACCCGCATGACAACCCTGGTCCCCTTGTGTATTCTACATTTTCACATGATGAATGCCGAAAGAGGCTTTTTTTAGAAAAAGAAAGAAAAAACAATGCTTGAGAAACGCAAGGATCGAGAAAGGTTTATGCAGTATTAAGCATGAGGACCAAAAAAGTATAAAAAAAGAGCAGGACGAGGAAGGAGGTAGAGAGCGTGTCCAGGGGGCTGGGGGGGATGGACAGGGAAATGTAACCAATTGTGGAGTCGTTTGTTTATAAAATACCCTCTCTCTGAGGGGATGCACTTCAGGACCGTGGAGGATGACAGGATTTGAGGTCACATTATGTGATGATAGTCGTCCTGTATGAGAAATACACCTTCACTATGAATGAAAGGGAGGGAAAGAAACAGAGAACTCAGCCAGAGACAGCGAAAGAGACAGAGGCAGAGAAAGAGACAGAGAAAGAGACAGAGAAAGAGACAGAGAGACCAAGAGACAGAGAGACAGACAGACAGAGAGACCGAGAGACACAGAGACAGACACAGAGAGACAGAGAGACAGAGAGACAGAGAGACAGAGAGACAGAGAGACAGAGAGACAGAGAGACACAGAGAGAAACAGAGAAACAGAGACAGAGAGACAGAGAGACAGAGGGACAGAGAGACAGAGAGGCAGAGAGACAGAGAGACAGGGAGGCAGGGAGGCAGGGAGGCAGGGAATCGGAGAAGCAAAGACGGCAGAGAGACAGACAGGGAGACAGAGACAGAGGTAGAGACAGAGAGACAAGACAGACGGGAGAGGGAGAGACAGCAAGATAGAGAGAAAGAGGCAGAGAAACAGAGAGAGAACAGAGACACGGGCAAAGACAGAGAGACACAGAGCGATAGAAAGACAGACAACGAGACCGAGTGAGACAGAGAGTGACAGCGGCATTGGCAGAGGGGGAAGCAGAGGCAGAGAGGCAGAGAGGCAGAGAGGCAGAGAGACAGAGAGGCAGAGAGGCAGAGGCAGGGGCAGAGGCAGAGATAGAGATGGAGAAAGAGAGAGTGAAGGGAAGGAGGAGAACAAAATTGGAGTGGTTTTCACGATGTGGGAAGTCATGGACTAAACATGTCTTTTGTCTTTCTTTGACAATCATACGTTTGATGAAAAAATGAATAAACGAATTGAACAAACATATCTAAGAATACAAACGGGCTCCATTCATTCCTCTGGTTTTCAATATTAGGCCTAATGAAAAGAGCGGCCAGAATGACATGTGCTGACCAGCCAGCTGGTATCCGTCATTGCAGACCGACTGTGCATGACAGGCTGGCAACACGTGTACCCGATGGCTGGCAGCAGCGTCAGACTGAAACGAGAACCGGACCACACAACCGCGCCGCACATTAGGAGGAGAGAACATGAGAGAGAGAAAGAGAGAGAGAAGATGAGATGGAGAGTGAGAGAGGACCACGCACAAGAGCAACGGCAATAGCGACACAACCAAACGAAAGGGCTGAAGATGAACAAGCAGCGCCAATATAGTGCACAAGAGGGCAGCTTGGAACGAGAGAGAGAGAGAGACACACAGACACAGAGAGAGAGAGAGAGAGAGAGAGAGAGAGAGAGAGGGAGAGCAGACGGGACGACGTCCAAGGCCGAGAAAGAAAGAGCGTTTGCCGGATAGAGAGGGCATCGTCGTCCACCATTCATTCATCCATGCATGGAGTCATTCTTGTGGTATCCATCCATTCTTAATCGTGCCGCCCAACCATGACGCCCACTACAACTGGTGCTGCGTCGTCCCTACTCTCGGCAGGAAGGAGGAGCTGGCACCACCATACACACACACACGACCTTGTCCTCGCTACATTGCCTCCCCATCATCGACTTCTAAGAACTGTACGGCCACCCCTTCCAATTTTCAAATACCTCCACCCACCCACACACACACATACATATACACATGCGTTCAGCCAAATGCCGTTCACATCCTAGCCGTTATCACTGGTTGGCAACCGATGGCTATGGCGCAGACATGCGTGATGAGCAGGCAAGCAACAACAACCAGTCCGCAAGACCGGGTCCTTCCTTGACGCTAGCTGGCTGGCGAAGAAAGGACCAGAAGAAGAGAGCTCCGCCTCTCTTCTCTCCCCTCCGGTTGTTCCTCTTCCTCCTCTTGCACATCCTTACACATTTTCACAATGACACCAGAGACCAACCGCCAAATCTCTGTCTCTGTCGTCGTCAAAGTGTCGCCGTTGCCGTGCCCTCAGCTCTCGCTCATGATCTCCGTTCTTGTCCGTCATCGCTCGGTCGGTCGGTTGGTCGGTCGGTCGGTCGGTCGGTCGGTCGGTCGGTCGGTCAGTCGCTCGCTCATCGCTCCCCCCCCGACGCTCCCGACTCCCGCTCTCTCTCTCGTTGCTGCCGAAGTCTGTTCCGCGCCCTCCCCGTACAGAATTCGAGTCCAACTAACGAGTAGTGTCGGACGCATGCCCTTCCCTTCCAGCCCTTCTTGACCTTATCCTCGTCCTTTCTTACTCCATCCCGCTCCCTATGGGATTCCCCATACGTGCGCAACCCTCCCCCGCCAGTCTCCCGTTCCGCAAGAGAGCACTTTGCCGCCAGAAGATGCCTCTTCTCTCACCGCTAAGCACCGTTACGCTCCGTCAAAGAAGTAAACGCTGTGGGAGTAATAGTTTGATAGTTGTAGAAGTAACAGAAACAGGGAAAGTTCGGGGAAGAGGAGTAGGAGTCCCTAGCGCTCACTTCCTGCTGACGGGGTCGAAGGAGGCAAGCCCAGCCACGCCGACGCCAATGACCGCCAACACGCTGCCGCCGGCCAGCACGCTGAGGAGGAGATTCTTGAGGGAGGGGGACACGCCAGGTGAGGCCGCTTCCGCCATCTCGGGGAGGACTGCCGCCGCCACGAGGGCTAGCGAAGTGGGGGTGACGAGGTCCTGCACGCGGTGCTTGCTCTCGCTCCCCTCCGCGCTCATGGTCACGCGCGCAGCCCTCCGCGCAGCGCTCCTCGTCGGGGCAACAGCCAGCGACAATCCGCCGAAAGCCGAGGCAGAGGCGCCGCTCCGCCCCGCGCGCACGGCGACGGTGGACGTCAACGCGGCCGCGGAGGCGGACGTCGTCGCAGCAAGCGATGCGGTGGCCATGGCGGACGAACGGGAAGGGAGGGGGGGGCGGGGAGGAACAAGCAAGGAGCAGACCGAAGGCGCGGACACGCGCGAAGGAGACGGCGCGCAAGAGACGAGAGTTGGGCGCAACGCGGCGCTTCCGCGGCTTGCTGGCGAGCGAGTGAAAGAAGTGCGCCAACAAACAGTTAGCTTGTCGCTCTCGCTCCAAACACTCACTCGCTGCCTCCTCCGCCTCAGCTGATACGTCACGTCATCTCATTGTCATGTCAACGAGATTGCCAAGGAGACCGGTCTGGGCGAGCAGTCGATCATCGGTCCTTCGATCATCGGTCCTTCGATCGATCGCGGACCGTCGATCTTTCCACCCGGACCTCGGTCGGCGCTATCTGTCCTATGGCAGGCAAACAGGATAAACCCCTCACCTGACCTTATCTGGGCTGTCCGTGCTATCTCAGTGCCTCTCGATCCCGCCAACAAGGACGCCTCCCAGCGGATCCTCATCCTCCTTCCCAGGATAAAGCGCATTTGTCTTTTTCTGTCTTTTTGTGTCTTTTCCTTCCTTCCTCGCTGCGGTGCTCTTCGCGGTTGTCCCTGCCGGCCTCCCGCACGCGCGCAAGCGCGCCTTTGGGTCCCATCTCTACAAGTTATGGTAGAAAAAAAGCACCACCTTGCGCACAGAGGTGCTCGGAGGGCGCTTGACGCCTGGAACTGCTGATCCACAGGTCAAGGGTTCAACTCCCACCTCCTTTACTTTCCAGAGAAGTGGAAATCACAGAGCTCCCATAGGACTTCAGCTGCAAAGGGAATCAGAAGCCAGATGGCATATCTCTTTTCTTTTTTTTTACACAAGAATCAGTGACATTCTCTCTCAATAGGAGTGGGCTGTCGTTTTTATTTATTTTATTTTCTTTCCCCTGAAAGGCCCTGCGAAATGGGGCCACGCCAATACTCTCCGTGTCGTATAGGGGGCCAAGCCCCACTACGGTAGCGGCAAGATTGCGTAATTTTTTTGGGCCGTCCTATCCAAAAATCTGATGGCCATTCTGTGACCATGTCAAAAAACTGCTTGAAATAATTTGATCTCACTTCCGGCGAGAGCGGGCCTTGTCCCCCCCTGGATTGCCCAATCTCGTGGCCTCACTGAGACCACATCCAAAAATGCTCGAAAATTAGGGTCGACGTCAACACACCTAGAAAAATCCTTGAAAACAGGTCCACCCGCATTCCACACTAATTGTCGCTAATTGTCTACCTCGCAAAAATCGCAGGAAAGAGTTTTGTTTTGTCCCTCAAAGATGTGTTTATTTGTGTTCTGCCACCCAAACAACCAGATTACATTGGCATGCCCCTCTCACCTGGAATATGTTTTGCCAGGCCCCTGTCAAAGGGTTAGACACTCTGAAACACGCCCCATACCGGGCAGGGTAGCCGCCCCCCGTGCTGCTAAGGGGCAGCAGCACAAAGTCTGTCACCCCCTGTATGCTCTAACAGCCCCCTTACCAGCCCAAGAGGGGCACAAAAGTACAAGGATAGCTGTCCCTGACCTAACAGAGGGCAGGGGCTCACTTGCGATTTAAAGACCCCCTGCAGCAAACAAGGGGAGTCTGGCAAACTTCTGTGATTTGCTGGGGGGCTAAGTGAAAGGACTATATCTGCAAGATTTCACAAAAGAGTAAGGGTACTCTCGGCACATCCCATTCACAGGGGCAGACCTGTTACGAAACAGTAGGGGTATTGTTGAAAATGTCCATCAGTAGGAATAGATTTGAAATTCCACAAATCTGCAGGTGTTTATATGCACCTGACAAACGACAAGGGTAGGTCTGCAACTTCACAAAACTACAGGTGTAGTTTTGTGATGTGCCGATGACAATCTGGTTTGGGTTGAGTATGTCTTAGGAGACTTTTGCTGGGACGACACAGACCGGTGCTGGGATGTGGTTGCTCCGTCCTGTAACTCGGATCAGCGGGAGCATGAGGTCTGGGGAGTTGCCGAGGATAGCAGGCAACCAGCAATTTTCAACGACCGGCCGATGTTGGGGTATAGCCCTGTGATCCGGTTGGAGACTGAGGCTGGGGGAGTTGTCGAGGGAGGAAGGCACTCCATTCCGTTATAACAACGAGAGTCCGAGCTGGGGCGGGTTGTGCTGCCCTGTAACTCTAGCTGATAAGGGGGTTTTGAGACTCGGGGAGTCAATTACGAGGACAGAAAGGCGTGAGCCGGGGTTGGGTTAGCCTATTAAACTGAGGGGTCAGAAGGATGGTCGCCAGTTTTGTCTTCTGGGATTTGTGTTTGCTTCTTGCATAGACTGAACTCAAAGTTTGTTTCCTATCCTTAAATGGTAAATTACGTGAAAAAAAGTCTTAAGAATGTTTTAGGACCCTAGGGACTCCTAGCGACCCATCTTACGCGGTTTCAATGCTGTTATACTCAGTGATCTGCGGCTGTTCGATGTCGGAACAACGCTGGCTGGTGCTGGGGTGTAGCCCTGTAACCTGCATATGCAGGAGCGTGAGGCCTGGTAGAGAGATCTGGGGATGCTTTGGGGCAGGCATCCCAAGGGACAACCAAGGGTTGCTGCTGGGACGACGCTGGTCGGAGCTGGGGCGAGTCGTGTTGCCCTGTAACCCAGCAGGGTGGGGGCGTGAGGCCTGGAAAAGCTCGGCAGAGAGTCAGACTGTGTTGAAAAGTTGTAGAAGGGTTTGTATCCAGTTGATGTAGCTCAGTGGTTAGAGCACCGGTTGGAAATGCACGAAATTGGGCGTACCAAAAAACAACATTTTTTTGTGTTTTTTTGTCCCCATGACGTCGGATGATCAGATCATCGGGTGTCGTGGCGACTCCCGATGATCTGACCATCGGATGTATGTTAACGGTACTTCACGTTGAGGTACATCACATGGACAAAGTGAGATAACCACTTTCTCACCCGATGAGCAATGAAATTTTGACTAAGTCCACTTTCGTGAATTTAGAAAAAAATGTCAGTTTTAACGAAATGTCAGTTGCAGGGCGTTAGAGTGATGCACGGCTGGACACACACCCCTTGGGCTGACGCACGGTAAGGTTATACAGACACTGCCTGCGCACCACCCAAGGGTTAGTGTTGTATGTCAGGTCTTGATATTGCGTGGGTTGCTTGTGTCTGTTGCTCGTGGTTGTTCTGTTGATCTCCCCAATCTGGCATATCACACACACAGGTCGCTCGCGATTGTCGCTCTAATTGTAGAGTCTTCAGGTCACATGCCATAGATCACGGGTTTGAGTCTGGCTTGAGACTTTGGGGGGGTTTCTTGTCCAGCTTGGCCTGCCATCTCTTCAAAACGGACACAGTTCCCTCTACATAGTACTGCACATATGTGGCCTTCGGGCACATACATCTCGCTATACAGTTACACAGAGCACACATAGCCTTTGGGCAGACACAAAAACACATGGCCCTATGGGCTCTTACAAACATACATAGCCTCTGGGCACACACATATACACACAACTATGATACTGGGCTGGGGGGGTCTATCAGGTATATGACGGGGTCTACTCATGCATGGCTTAGCTCTAGGGTAGGGTAGGGATATAAGTCGCTCCGGCTAGTCTGAGTTCCGCCTAGCCTTGGGTAAGCTAGGGGAAGGACGGTAGGATGTGTCCGCAGGCGCTGGCCTGCCTAGCTTAGGTAACCCTGCAGGGTAGACTCTCTGAAGCGGGCCTGTAGAAGATTGCATGAGCCCGGCGTCCGAAGTTCCCGTACGGAAAGGTTCGTTTGCTTCCGCTTCCATTAGGGCTGGGAGGTCGGCCCAGCCTTGGTGCTTGTCACTGCTGTCTGGTCTAAGTTGCCCTCGATACTGGTTGGGTGATGGTCATGAGTGCTGGCCACACTGAGGTAGGATAGTAGCGACAGAGGGTTCCCTGGGAGTATCAATGTGGGGATGGGTAGGGTAGGTGGCCTATCCTGTCAGGACAACCATTGGCTGTTGCTACCAGCAATCACCGCGGGTTTGGTCCTTGGCCTCTACAGCACCCTGGGCTTAAAAAAGAAGAAAAAAAAAAGGGAATTCTGAGGGTTGCGGGCATTCGTAGGACTTCTGTGGCGGCCTTTGCATGAGCAGTTCCTAAACAGTTTTCTTAATAGGTCATCAGATCATGACCCCCCCCATGTCTTCTGAATCACATCGTTCTCAGACTGTTCTCAGCCGAAGCCGGGTAATGGCCCCGGTATCTCAAAGGACCTCAAATAATCTGTATAATTCGATATGGGACTCTGGGCCCGGTTCCCAGCACGTGCTGCTCCCCACAAATAGATTGGAGCTTTTGTATTTACAAAAAACAAAAAAACAAGATTGCGACCGAAGTTCTGTTTATACATCAGAGAGCCTTCTCCTCTTTATCTGGGCTAAAAAGGGCAGCACCCATGGTTCGTTTTTTTTTTTTTTTTTGAAAAACTGCCGGTGTGGGAGCTAGAGGTGCTGGTATGAGCAGACACCCCTGTCTCCGCCGGGAAGGCTATATCTATTGGTGGGGAGCAACACCTGGTGGAAAATGGGTCCAGTGTTCCTTATACAAAAACATTGTAGTACATCTGAGTTCCCTTACACAAAAAACATTGAAGTACATCTGAGTTTGCTGATTTGCAGATAGTGGGGAGAAGTCTCTTCAGCCTACGATCCAGACCGCCACATGGTTTTAATGTGAAACCAGGACTGACTGAATTCCGGCCTTTTACCACTTCTGCACTGAGACAAGCAAAGATGAAACAAAACCCAAGCTTGGATGCCAGTGCGAAAATTGGAACAATACAGAGAAGATTAGCATGGCCCCTGCGCAAGGATGACACGCATAAATCGAGAAATGGTAAAAAAAAATTAAAAAAAAAATCCTCTGAACGGCTGGGCATGCAGAAAAGTTGAACTGGTACCAGTAGGGACATACTGAAAAGATGTCGCACCCAAGGGATGTTGGGAATATTTCAGAAAGTTGGACTGCACATGCCGTAGTAAGCTGGCCATTTGAGGGCCAGAATGCGAATAAATGCGTCTCTCTGAGGGCATAAGTAAAAACTCCCCAAAATCTTAATATCTTACTCATCCTGTCATCCTTGAAGCTCCTCAAGGACCAACAGCGCAAAGGGCAGTCTCAGGTGCTGTGTGAAACAAGAAAACACATCTGGGCAAACCCTGGTAACAGAGTATTAAACTGATCAGAATTTTTTTTTTTTTTTTTTTTTTTTTTTTGGAAGAATCATTAGCTTTTATTACAAATGAAAGGAGTCCGGGAATTCCTCACAAACAACCTGGAAGATATGACCAATAACTCTTGTTGGGCTGTTGCTGGAAAACGGGTCCATCGTCCCTTCCTTTCACTGGTCTATCCTCATCTTCCAAAATCCCTTGAAGCCCAAAGTAATTTCGTGTAGAAATGAGGCACCATCCTACTTGGTGCT